TTTAGGTCTAATTTGTATTTAGCCCCTGATTTATATGGGATAGTGCTCACTTGAGCATGCAGCTGGTTGTCTAATCATACTTGTTAATAAACTGTTACAGGAGTTAAATAAATTACTACTAAAAACAAATGCTGTCTGTGCTATAACTATATAAATGATAGGGATTTATACAAATTAAGAAATGTATGTATGTATGAGGATCTAGATCGTCCAACATTTTATTTATTTATTACCCTTGGATTCTCTCCTCTAAGACTAGCCTAAATGGGACTTACTGGCATTTCCCTACTTTTTTACATTAAGAAGAAAGTGGATTCATTTGAAATGAGGTGGAGTGTTTTACAGATACCATGGACCACCAAAAAGATACATCAATGGGTTCTTTTTTGTTGTTGTTGTTCAGTCACACAGTCAAGTCTGACTCTTCGCGACCCCATGGACCACATCACGCCAGGTCCTCTTGTCCAGAGTCTGCTTAATTTCATGTTTGTAGCCTCGGTAACACTGTCCAACCATCTCATCCTTTGCCGTCCCCTTCTTCTTTGGCCTTCAATCTTTCCCAGCATCAGGGTCTTCTCCAGTGAGTGCTCCCTTCTCATTGGGTGGCCAAAGTATTCGAGCTTCAGTTTCATTATCTGGCCTTCCAGGGAACAGTCAGGGTTGATTTCTTTGAGGACTGACTGATTTGATCTCCTTGCAGTCCAAGGGACTCTCGAGAGTCTTCTCCAGCACCATAGTTCAAAAGAATCTATTCTTCGGTGCTCGGCCTTCCTTATAGTCCAACTCTAGATCAAATCAAACCTGAACTCTCCATTGAAGCTAAAATAACCAAATTGAGAGGCTATTGTACTTTGGTCCTGTTATGGGAAGGAAAGACTCACTGGGGTAAAAAACACAGTAATGCTTGGAAAAGTTGAAGGCAGCAGGAAAAGAGGAAGATGCAACATGGGATGGATTGATTCAGTCAAGGAAGCCAGGTGCCTCAGTTTGCAAGACCCAAGTAAGGTTGTTAATGCAAAGTCTTTTGGAGGTCATTCAGTCTTAAGGTCACCATGAGCTGGAAGCCCCTTACACACATGCACACAAACCCTTTCAGTTACTGATCGAGGTCGGTATCTACTTGGCTTCATAGACAGGACTACACCGGGCACAGCCAAGCCCTTCTCTGGATCCTCTGCGGCTGATTGCCAATCAGAAAAGCAAAGTTTTCCATGAGATGACCACACACACACACACACATATCTTTAGGGCCGACGATATTTATGTTGAAAAATGAAGGCTACCATAATAATTTAGAATTTTTCAGCTGCAAAAGCTGCTCAAGCCTTTTCCATGTTACAGAAACTCAATGGATAACCAAAGGGGGAGAAATCCAAGGGTCCAATGATCTCTGTGCACCTATATGGCAAAGATGATCCCCCCCCCCCCATGTAATTCAGTGGATTTATTAGCAGCTCAGGTTTTGTTTAAGAAGCAAACTGCTTGTTCTGGTGGATTCAAAGAAAAGTCCAAAACTGGGTGAACAAAAACAGACCAAAAAATGGGGCTTACTGATTATTACAGTGGTTGGGGGGGGGATATATTTTCTGAATTGCTCTTTTTCTCTTTCCCACGGCTTACATGGTTTTACACTTTTTTTCCTTCCCGTGGGAAGTAAATCTCTCTCTCTCTTTGAAATAATTTGATAGCAGAACGCTGAGAATTTTAGTTGAAAGAATACGCTGAAATCAAGATCCATAATCTGTTCTTATTGAACGGGCAGAATTTCTTAACTTTCCGTCCAGAGTTAAATTTACACCTGACTGAATGTTCTTTTATATATTTCACATCCAATTTATTTGTAAGCAAACACGAACTTTGTTAAAACCAGAAGGGAAATGGAAGACAGCCCTGGAAAGATCCAAATGCATCTTAAAAATTTAAATTGTTGTTGCAGTTGTAATGGGGAGGGAAAAGTGCATGTCAAAGTAAGAGGAAAATCCTAGGAGGCAAGGGTTTGCAAATTACCATAGCCTTTGAAATAGTCATGATTGTTAGAACTGAACCTACCTGACCTTGCTGTCACTCCAGCACTGTTTGAGTACAATGTTATGAGCCTAGCTGAGAAAAATCACAGGCATCAGCCCAGAATTGGTCATAGCATACTTTGTTTATAGGGATTTAAAGACTGTAGCATAGGTAAGGCTGATAATAGGGTTGGCAATCCCCAGTTGGGGGCAGGGAATCCCCTGGTTTGGAGGCCCTCCCCCGCTTCAGGGTTATCAGAAAGTGTGTGTGGGGGGGGTAATATCCGCTAGCTGCTCCATTATACTCTATGGAGACAGGTCCCCATAGGGTATAATGGAGAATCGATCGTGGGTACCTGGGGCTCGGGGGCAGTGTTCCCTCTAAGCTGAGTTAGTGTGAGCTAGCTCACAGTTTTTTTGCCTCCGGCTCACACATTTTTGTCTTAGCTCAGGACAGATGACTCCAGAGCAAACTAATTTATGTAGTAGTCAAATCACTTGCTCACAACTTTAATGCCAGTAGCTCACAAAGTAGAATTTTTGCTCACAAGCTTAGAGGGAGCATTGCTCGGGGGTGGTGGTGGTGGACTTTCTTGAGGTAGAGGCAGCAAATTTTCAGCAAAGCATCTGGTGCCTCTCCTCAAAAAAATCCCCAAGTTTCAGAAAGATTGGAGCAGGGGGGTCCAATTCTATGAGCCCCAAAGAAGGTGCCCCCCTCCTCCATTATTTCCAATGGAGAGAAGGCATTCAAAAGGAACACAGTCCCTTTAAATGTGACGGATAGAATTCCCTTTGGCATTCAATCGTGCTTCTTCCCACCCCTCTCCCAGAGGCTCCTGGAAAGTCCCTCACCAGCTTGTCAGCCTCACCTGGAAACCCTAGCTGATAAAGGCCTAAGTACACAAAACACTGTTCCTGGGTCCACCAGGAATCCCATCAAGTGGATGTGTGTTAAAAGTTCCTGGTAAAACCATAGATTATTAGGTGCATGAAGGCCTGATTCAGATTGGGACCATGAAACACAGGGAACCCACACCATCTTTCTGACCTAAAACTCCAGCAAACAATTCTTTGGCAAAATAGATGACTATATGTAACTTTACCCAACAGGGGAACTAGTGGCTGCCCAGAACTGTTTCAGGTTGGGAAAATGGTGTGCAGGAGGCTCAACCCCCCCTCTCCCCATGGTCCAGATCCAAATCGGTCCCCTCTCCAAGTGGCTTAGTTTCAGCCAGGAACTCCCAGTGTGCCCCTGATTGACAGGACCCAGGTCAGACCAGACCCAGAAACAGTGCAATGTGTAGTTACTCTCTCAGTCCAAAGCGAATCACACAACTAGGTAAAATAATTCTTTTATTGGATTAACTTTGTTCCATATAAGAATAAGATTTTGAGAGTCACAGATGGCAATTTTTCAGACGTAAGTGAAAAGCAGATAATATATTGCTTTATGATAGCGTAAATCTGAATGTGCATGTAAACCAAATGAGTACACACTTTAGTTAGGATACCATCTTGAGAAGAACAGCTTAATGACCTGGAAACCAAGTAACTCAACACCATGACCTGCTATAGTGAAGCAGCACCTTGCGGAATGGAGAACTCAAGCACAAGTCAATCCCCACCTGTCTGCCAATGCAGCCATCATCTCCAGTTCTTCTATGTCCTTGGACATACATAATCTTTAAATGCAGAAGAAGAGTCTCTTGTTATCTTATAGACTTTAAAAGTTACTGAGACACAAGCTTTCCCTGTCTTCAGCCCATTCCCAATACTCTCTCCAGCCCACAATAGTTTATGCTGCAATAAATGTGTTTGTCTTTAAGGTGCCATCAGACTCTTCTTTAGTTTTTGTTGCAATGGACTAACAGCAGCGATCCTACTGAAACTAGCCTTTTCCAGATCACAGTTCCCTCCATTCCACTGCATTATAACTGGCCGATGCCCTACCAGGCACAGCATTCATGACTTGTAAACATTTATGAGCAATGGATGGTGAGCCATGATCTCAATGTGGCCTACACATGTCACTACTTGGAGTCCCTGGACCAACTTGGCCCTCTGAGGGATGTCAACTGGTCCTGTAGGATGGGATACAGATTGAGGTGGTCATCTTCAGCTTACATTGCTTCTCCAAGCAGCTCTCCAGGAAAATGAGTTGCTTAGTAGTATTATCTATATGATGTCCCATTGTTCTTCTACCCACAGCCCAATTCAGCTTGTAGTGTCTTCACCACAGCAACCATTTTATTTATTTATTCAGAAAATTTCATTGCCACGTCTCCAGGGAACCTGATCAAGGATCTGTTTTAAAAGAGTCACTTGTTCCCATACGGTCATATGATGTGCAGAAGAAAACGGAATGTTTGAAACCGTGGTATCAAACCCTTATTTGCATCTCATTCCATGACAATCACCTTCTTTGTTCATTCTTCTAAAATGTCATTTATTGCAGTTGGAGCTTTCTTTCTTAGCTTTAAAAAAAACTCTTATGAAATATCAGGTCTTGATTAAAACTAAAGTTCGGAGTACTTCAGACACTGGTATCCCTGAAATTTGTTTTGGCTGTAATGCAATAGGCCATCAATACACCTAAGCAAGAAGAAACAATGTGGCCTACAATGACATTAGACTAATTTGGTCTAATCTTGAAACCTTTGATGCTCCTGAAAACGTTTTGGTTGTTGGTTGGATATGCATAATTTCCCTCGATTGGAAATCATTAGCCAGTTCAATACTAGATCTACAGGAGATGTTGAGCAAAGAAAATGGCCCGTGCAAACCTCCTGACATGCAAGCCTCTTGCACCAAATCTCCAAAAGACAGTCCTAGTACCTTGAGACAGAGTTGCCAAATCTGGATTAAGAAATACTTGGAGATTTTGGAGGGGGAGCTTGGGAAAGGCAGTGTTTGGGGAGGGGAGGGACCTCAGCTGGGTACGATGCCACAGAGTTCACCCTCCAAAGGAGCCATTTTCTCCAGGGGAGCTGGTTTCTGTTGTCTGGAGATCAGTTGTAATCCCAGGAGATCTCCAGGCCCCACCTGGAGGTTGGCAACCCGGCACTGAGAAGTTCTCTTGCATAAACCCAATGCAAGGCACAAAATTGGTTTCCTGTGCTCTGGACCTGTTTTCCCTCTACAAGGGCTTGTGCAAGAAAATTTCGCAGAGTATTATTCTATGCTTTAATTTGCTGATTGTGAGGGTTTTAAAGTTTGAAAATACTATAGGGTGGCTTCCGAAAAAGAAGCAAAATCGGGTACATATATAGAAAATGTGCACATACCCTTGGAAGAATACCCTTTTGTAATGAATTTTCTGAAATCCTGGGGAGGGCGGGGGGAAATGAAAGAAGGGGGAAGAAAATCTCTTTACGCAGCACTTTGAATATCAATGTCCAGTTCGCCGTAGACATGCCGTATGGCATCACAATTCAGGCTTGCAATCAGCTTTCGGAGGCCGGCCCGCTTTGGAATACATTTTTCTTCCCAGGTCAAGGTTGAATTCTTTGAGAGGTTTCTGCGATGATAAAGAACGGTATGAATATGGTGGCGGATGGGCCATAAATCTCACTTTAATACATGAGCAGGCACCTTGGTGAGGGAAAAGATAATCTGTCTTTTAAAAGGAAACATCCCACCCCAGATTGGGCTTTTACCCCTAAAAAGAGAAGCTCAATACACCACAACACTGCTAGAGGGTTCCCTGTTTTGAACTGGATATGAAGCAAAGGCTTGTAAGCCCACCGAAGCTGTTGTTGAATAGAATTGCTGAATGAGGCTGATCTGTGACTGACCCAGCAAGGTAGTTTTATACTTTTAACAAGTGTACGTTTCCACAATTATGTACCACAAGCAAAAATCACTTGTATCTAGAAATTAAAACGACGTTTCAGATAATCAGAATTTGCCACTGGATATGGAGGTCCATTTCGTGTCCAAAACAGGACCACTAATCAAAGCAAGCTGCCGCTGAATGATAAAAATCCAGTTCACATGCGTCTTTGCGGACAGTAAGGAAGCACCCAAGGCCACAACCTGCCAATGCCCACAGTGATTCTCAGTACATTGGGACCTACAATTCCATGATTCTGAGAGGCCCATCAAATACATTGTGAAAACAGAACCAGCTGCTTTATTCTACCCCCATCAAACTTGCAGATTACACCCAGGGGTGTGCGTAATGGCATTCCTAAGCCAAAAACATACACAAAAATCAATGGTTTGGGTTGTTACAGTTGTTTCCCAGACTGGTATGAGCAATCCATGACTCTCGGTGAAATGAAATACCACCACCACCACCCCGCCCACAAAGAAAATCTGTGTTATCAAGTGTAGGTGCTTACCTAGCTAGCAGTGATCTGTGCATGTGCTTCTTGTGTTGCTGTTCCACTAGCTTGTTGTGTTGTGTTGTGCATGTGCTTGTTGTGCATGTGCTTGTTGTGTTGTTGTTCCACTAATTACACTAGCAATGGCATCCTTTCAACCAACTGGATCCTTGCAAGGGAGGAGCACAAAGCGCTTACAGCCAATCACCTTTGGCACTGTCTTCAATGACTGTTGCCCTAGCCCCTAGAATGGGCTGCCCATTGAAAAGAAGTCTGCAGAGCACTCACCGACTTCAGGGTCCGGTAAAATAGATCCCCTTTGCTGAATGTGCTCGAAATTCCGGGGGTCTTGAGAGAAGAGGAAGGGCTGCATTTCATGAGAATTTGCTGCCATTCTACTCTGGGGGCTGTCATCCCAGTCCTAGAGCAGTCTGTCTGTCTCAGGGGCCATCATTCCACTCTGGGGGGGCTGTCACTGAAGGCCCAGAGCAGACTCCTCCAAATCCCGTCCACATTTTCATTGCAACTTTTCTGTCCTGTAATGTATTTCAATGGAGCCCATGGAAGGCAACTGGTATTCCTGGCTCCCATTCAGTGTTCCCTCTAAGATGAGTTAATGTGAGCTCGCTCACAGCTTTTTAGCCTCCAGCTCACACATTTTTGTCTTAGCTCAGGAAGGATGGCTCCAGAGCAAGCTAATTCATGCAGCAGCCAAATTGCTCGCTCACAACTTTAATGCCAGTAGCTCACAAAGGAGAATTTTTGCTCACAAGACCCCACAGTTTAGAGGGAGCATTGCTCCCATTATATTCAATGGCCCTTTTCCCTCAATGGGCATTCTTGTCATTGCTTTCAGTACATCCCCTCCAGACACCATTTTTTTCAATGGACAGTTAATTCCAGGGTCTGGGGCAGCTGTCACTAAATATTACACCATCAAATTTGCCAGGAAAGAAGTCCTCCCTCTCCTGTCACGGTCCCCCAAATTTCAAGCACATTCAACAAAGGGGCTCCATTTTACTGGGCTCTGAAGTAGATGAGTTTCCATGCACTGCAGACACCATTCTTTACAATAGACATCCAATACCAGAGTCTGGGGCAACAGTCACTGAAGAGAATGCCTAAGATGACTGGCTGGAAGCACTCTGTGCTCCTCCCTTGGAAGGATCCAATTGGTTAGAAGGATGCCATCGCCCAGAAAGCTGCTGGGTTGAGCTGTAACTTAGTCGTGGTGGGTGGGGAGGTGTCTTTCTGTACGTCAAAACCTGCAATAAGCTTTTTGACATTCTCAAGTAGAACTTGGGCCACATAAGCTTGTCCGACTCACAGGATGAGCTCTGCAGACCAACCTCCGCACAATAGTTGTGGGTTTCGAATCACAAACAGGGTTTCTTCCCAGCCAAGAGAGGCCTTGCTCATTTAGATCTTTTACATCGCTTGGCAGGCCTTGACAGGGCACCTGTTCTCATGGTGTTCCCAAGTCTTTAGGGGGGGATTGGTGGGAATTGATGCAGCCTATCAGCACCTTTCTTTTAACCAAAAGAGCACTGTTGCTTAGCTTTAAACAATTTTGAAAATGATTTCCTCTTTAGTATTGACCCTAAGCAAAACAAAAGAAAGCCACCATCCAGAATGGTTCTGAACAAGTACCTTGTCAGGCCCTCTGGAACATCTTTTTACAATTAAAATGTGAAAACAGTAATAGAAGACTGCTGGGGACATTTCCAGTGGGATCCAGTCCAGTGATTTTTTTAAAACAACCCTCAAAGGGTTTTTCCCCCCTAATGGAATAAAACTGAACTAATTCTATTTGCCTGAAGTAACCTTAGTGATGGATGATTCTCAGTAATGTGCTAAGCCATCAACATACACCAGTCATTTATCATCTTCAATACAGAGAGGCAAATGGGATTAATATTTAAATAATCAGCTATGTTTTTCTCTCTGTGAACGTAACTTGCCACCTCTACAAAGCCATGATAACTTGATCAGCAAATATGCATATTGTGTGGAACCAAGAATCTCAGCTTTTAGGGATGCTTTTAAAGGCAGTTTCTAGCTCTCATGCTGTCAGAGTAAAGCCTGGAATTGCCCAGATCCAGAATTCCATGTGATGAGCACACAGAACTCCTCCACATATACACTGCGCTACCCCATTCAGTTCAAAGGAAGAGACCCTACTGGTACACTCGTTCTTGTGCACACATGAATCCGTTCTCTGCACTGAAAGGAATGAGCAATTATTGGAGGACTGGGGAATTTGCACAAGCAATGGCTGGATAAGTAGAGTGAAAGAGGCCATGCAGATGACAAGATTTCCCAAGGGTAAACTGGATTGTCTGTATTATCCAGCCAAGTGAATGCTGTTACCATCAGAGGTCCACCTGGAGTAAAATTATCTTCTGTCACCCACCAAATTCTGGTGAAGAATCAGGAACTGACAAAGGCCTCCATTTATGAGTGTAAAAAAGAGAGACCTTCCTATCATACTGTTAAAATAATAATAATTAGCAGCAGCCACAACAATTACAGGTATTTATATAACACCTTTTGAATTGCCAGAGCACATACATTATTTGCAATCCCAGCATCACTCTAAGGCAGATCAGTAATACTGCAGAGATTGCTGAAGCTGTTAAAACTGAGAGTTATTGGCTTGTCTAAGGAGGTCATGGCTAAAGCGATGCTTAAACTGTGGACCACGGATTTATTACCACGGCTTAGTTCGTTAGCCACTATCATTATACCAGCATCAGTATGTCATCACTATCTGTATCTGTCTCTAATGACTTCCAGGTAAAGGGCATAATCTCAAATTTTTAAATGCAATATGATTTGGATGTATTCAAGGGGCCATCTGCGTAAGTGCTACAAATACAGATACTGGGAAGCCAGTGTTACAGTACCGGCACGAGGCTAATTCTTACCTAAACTTCTTTGAGGTGGGACGCAGTAGACCAGGCCCATCAAGTCGCACCAAAACATCTGTCAGTTCCCGATTCAGCGGGTTGGTGAATTCCACTATCACTGTCATTTCCTTGCCGACTACTTTCTCACCAGGAACCTGCAGGAAGAATGTAGATCAAAATAAGAAACCTGGGGTACCTGAAAGACAGTCCCCTCCCATCTCAACCCCATCTCAATCTCTGGCAATTAAAATCTCAAACCTTGCTCAGTGTGCCTCCATCTTCCAAAACGAGGTAGGTGGCTACCACTACCACTACCATGGTTTGTTGGGTGGTGGCATCCAATGTTCCCTCTAAACTGTGGAGTCTTGTGTGCAAAAATTCTACTCTGTGAGCGACTGGTATTAAAGCTGTGAGCGAGTGACTTGGCTACTGCATACATTATTTTGCTCTGGAGCTAAGACAAAAGTGTGTGAGCCGGAGGCTAAAAAACTGAGCTAGCTCACCCTAACTCAGCTTAGAAGTAACACTGGTGGCATCTCAACTATGGAACGCCAGCTTTACAGAAGTTCAACTAGCACTATCTGCTATCTCTTAGGTGCAGTGGAACTGAACGTTTTTATATGCTTATGCTTTTTAAAGGGATTTTTGTGTGTGTTGTTAAAGCCCTTGCGGGGAGGGTGGAGGGGAATGCCTTGGGGCTGAATGTTTTTTATAATCACTGTATTTAGGGTTGCCAGATCTTACCTGGCTGTTGGTGCGGGAGGGGGGGTTCCAGTCTTGCTCTGGGAGTCAACTGGCCAGTGGGGGGAGCCTCACCCCCGAAGAGCCCCGTCCCGCCCAACGTGCCTGGCACGATGACATCACCTGGAGGTTGGGCAGGATGCTCTACCATTTGGGGGGAAAACTCTATGGTCACCATAGGGTTTTTTCAATAAACAGATATCTAAGTCACCATAGCGTTTTTGCTCAAATGCTACTGCGTCCCCCACGTGACGTTCCTGGCACGATGACCTCACATCTGGGTGACATCATCATGCCGGGCACGTTGGGAGGGACGGGGCTCCCCCCACCAGCCAGCTGTCTGGGGTCCCCGAAATCGGGGAAAACCCTGCTCCCATCAGGGGGATGGCAACCCATAACTGTATTTACTATCTTATATGTGTTAAAGGCAGCCATGGTCCTTAGTCTGCAGGGTTTCCCCTCTCCTTGCAGTAAGGATAGATAGACAAGGAAATGGAAAATAACTACAAAATGCCTATCTTCGCGCCTCTGAGCTCAGGAAATTACCTTTAATGAGCCAGTCAGAGGGATGCTTTTGGGACATCTAACTAAGGACTACAATTCCCAGGGGCAACTGCTCTTAAAGGTACACAGCAGTTTTACTAAACTACTATTACCTACAGTTAACGCTGACTGGGGGCAGCACAAGACCTGAGCAAGGTTGTTAATGACAGAATGTTTTGCAGGTCATTACTTCATAGGATCGTCATAAGTCGGAAGTGACTTGATGGCAAATAACACACACATATATGTTATCTGTTGCACTCTCTGTCTGATTATAGCTTATGCTGTTTTTTATTTACAGCTTCAGTTTGCCTTGATTAAAAAACCTTTTACTGGTTTTATTATTTGTTACTGTAAATAGCTTTGAATAAAAAGCATGGATAAGTGACTAATTAACAATAAATAAATAAATGATTCAAATAAAGATCTTGACTGTTGAATATGAATCAGCTACAGGGAGGGAGTGGCTTCTGGAATGGAGAACAGAAACTGAACCGGGAGCATCGGCCAGCCAAAGCTGTCAAACTGTGAGATAGATCTCCTGCAGAGACGCAACCGAAAAAGAGAGACGTGAGATTTTTCCTGGCATCTGCTCTGCAAATATATGCAAATATTCAGATGACCTTAGATATTCCTAAATATAAAACACATATTATGTTAATTATTATTAACAGAATCCCTCTGAGTCATGATGCATTTGGCTATCAGTGGAAAGCAAACTGTTATACCCCGAGTTAGAATATAGGGGTCTTTTTTTAGCATATTGTTAACAGTTGCTGAAAAAATAGTTTTTGTTAAGATACACAGTTTGCTATTGGTCAGGGATGGCTGGCTGATATTTCCTCAGTGGGAGCCATTGACTAAGTGGGGGGATATTTCCTTCACGGACAATTTTCCTGCAGGGTAGGGAGTTAGTCCCTCTACCCATGGGAGTGTACGGGAGACAAAGAGGCAGTCTGAATTCGGGCAGAAATGGAAAATGTCAGGCAGAGAGATGGAAGTTTGAGATAAACAGGAAGCAGCGGTTGTGAGTGGGAGAGGGAGTTCACGCTTCTGCTTTGTGAGAGCTTGGTGTAGGATCAGAGTTGCCAGGTCCTTCCTGGCAACCAGCAAAGGAGACCCATCCAACATGCAGCAATGTGTCTACGTCACTGACCACGTGTCCTGGATGTGACATCATCACTTCTGGGATGTCGGGGCAATGCTCTGGTATTTGGGCAAAAACTCTATGATAAATTTGGCTTCTACCATAGAGGTTTTGCCCAAATACCAGAGCATCGCCCCGACGTCCCAGAAGTTATGGAGTCACTTCCGGGCCACGTGGGCAGTGACGTAGACACGTTGTTGCATGTTGGATGGATTTCCCTCTTTTTCGGGGTAAGTTTCCCTTGTCAGCCAGCTGATTGGTGGCAGGGTGGTGGGGCCTGGCAGCAGGGGACGCCCACCTCTACTAGGGGGGGGGGTCTGGCAACCCTATGGAGGATTGGTGTCTGTGCTGCTTGCTTTTTGGAGTCTGTTTGCTTTCAATATGTTGTGTTCAGAGTTCCCTCTAAGCTGTGCTATGGGGTACTGGCGCACAAAAGTTTAGCTCCAGCTGAGGGGTTTTAAGCTTCTGCTCACACAAAGGCATTTCCCCCTCCATTGGAAACAATGGAGGATGGGGACACCTCCTTCTGAGGCCCATAGAATTTGACCCCCCTAGTCCAATCATTTTGAAACTTGGGGGGGGGGGAGTTGGTGCCACTAGCTCAAAAAACAGCCCCCTGATCCCCAGATACGCCTGGACTGATTCTCCCTTACAGTCTATGGGGCCCATTGACTATAGATATAGATTTTTTTTTTGCTCACCCGTTATGCTTTTCAGTATGATTTGTAAGCTGCCTTGAGTCACAGGAAAAGTGGGATATAAATATTTGAATAAATAAGTAGTTTGGGCAGGCTGATAACATTTAAGCAACTTCCTGTTTGTTAGGTTAGGCAGGGTTCTGACAGTGATTGTTCCTCCTCTGTTATACTGGACCTGTAATTTGTCATAGTTCACTAACAAAAAAACCAAAACCAAACAAACAAAAACGCACTGAAGTAGACTGCAAGAATTTCTCCCCCTCCTAAGTGCTGGTATGTTTTCTAAGGCTCAGCGCAGGGTGACAGTCCGAGGCCAGGTCTACCAATATAGTGGACTGGGGCAGGTAGACCTGTTCTCTGGAGGACAGGTCTACCAATATAGTGGAAAGGAGTGGGTGAAATTCTGACACAATTCTGTCTTCTCTTATAATGTTTTAATTATTCTTAAAATGTAGTTTAAATAGATTTTTACAAGGTTATGGAAATAATTAAAAAAACTAATTAATGCAATAGTCAAATGTAGACTTGTTCACAACTTAATGCTACTAGCTTTTTTCACTCACGAGGTAGAATTTTTGCTCACAACACTGTGGAGCTTAGAGGGAACACTGGCTGTGTTTGAATATTTGTCAGTAAACAGATATCGCAAAGCATTCTGTGTTGCACCCACGGTCTCTTTTATTGCAAGGACACAAATCCTGTGAAGAGGTCACCTGCTTGAATAAGTGGGAGAGTGAGCCAGTTATCTGGCTGCCTCTGTTTTAGACACCAAACCTCCTTTTCATACCCATATTTGGTTTGGCTACTTCTAAGATCCATTTTCTTGCTTTTGGTACACTTTATATTTGACTCTCGCTCTTTCACCTTCATGCACCCCAAACCATTTCTATCTCATTGGGTCAGGCTGGTTTCCCAGACTTGGCCCCCACATATGTTCCTTTGTTTTCAAGCCTAGAAAGAAAGAAAAAATATTTTTCCTTGGTCTTTCCTACTTGCCCTATAATTGGGGACAGAATGAATGAGCTTCTGCCTGCTCCAAAACTGTCTTTGTCTTGTGATCTGTTTGAGCACCTGTTGTGACCAAAACAACTGATCCTATTCTATACTTGATGCTCAGACTTGGGGACCCTGCATTGGTGGTGGAGTTTCTGTCATTAGTACTTGCCATTCTCTCTCTCAGTTTTTCTCTCTCCTTCCCAGGGGTCGTTTCGTAGAAAAAGAGCTAGGGGAACTCATTAGCATAACTCATTAACATATGCCACACCCCCTGACATCAGGGGTCCGGCGGTGGACCTGCAAGGCCGGCGGAGTGTGAAGAAGCCCCGCCAAGGCCCTCCCTGGCCCCAGGCAGGCAGAGGTGGGAGAGGCAGGGAGGAAGCAACTTACCCTCCCTCTTCTCCTGCCTCCTCCTGGCCGAATGAGGGCTGGAAGCAGGGCGGCCGGAAGCAGGGGGCGGGGCTTCGTCGTGTGCCCCGCCCCCCACACCTCACCCGGGGGAACTGCGTTCCCCCGCGTTCCCCCCTGAAATGACCTCTGCTCCTTCCTATTGGGGGTGGGGAATCTTCCATCCCTAACCAGGCCCTTCTTGCCATTGCTCAGCTGGGTGGTGGGAGAAAAATACGAGAGAAATAGGGGATGGGATACCAGCATCCTGATGTACTGATATCGCTTCTGGAATGACCAGATGTGACTTCAGCACATTGTCGAAGACACTTTAACATTTAGTCAAAACTCTATATTTATACCATAGAGTTTTGGCTGAACGCTAGAGTATTACTGGTGACCCACTGACATAACTTCTGGTCACACAGGAAGTGATGCCACCTCATCGCCAGCAATGTCATTACGTTGCCAGCAAGGGGCCCCCAGCTGTGAGTCTCTGGCAAGCTTGCCCACTCTCCCTCCCCCTTCTAGCTGTCTGAATAGAAAAACCAGGTGCTGGGAATCAGGCTTTCAGTTCAATTTGCTAGTTCCCTTTGCAGAGTTAAGAGTTACCCTCCAATGAATTTTATTTGCAATGTATTGT